ACACATCTACTTACGGTGTAATTTAAATACTTAAACATTGTTTTCTCTCATTAACTGTTCTTACTACATAAGAAGAAATGGGACACTTTGAGCAGTGTCATTTTCCAGGATCCCCTGTTGGCAACATAGCCAAAGTGTACACATATACCTCACTAGAAAACTTTGAATTCTCGGAGTCTCTGGACCTACAGCTGTAACTTGCAGGTACTGTTTATTTTCCAGGTCCTTTTGATGTGATGCGGCAGACCTGGGAAGATCCTTGTTCTTTTAATTCACCAGCTTCTCTCAGTGCTATCATAAGGACACCTAAATGCTATCATATCTCTTCACTGAATGAGAACGCGGCCAAGCGGCTGTGCAGACGGTATTCTCAGAAACTGATTCAGCACACCACCTGTCAGCTGCTGAGAATGTACCCTGCTGCCACACGCATCGACTCTTCAAATCCCCATCCCCTTATCTTCTGGCTCCATGGCGTACAGCTCGTGGCTCTTAACTATCAAACAGATGGTATGGGTAGAACAGTGTACATGTTTATACATGTTAAATATGATATAAATCCTCCTTAAACTGTGAATTTGTATTTAATGTTTTCCTTTACCTGCTGTTGTAGGGGGACTTACCTGCCTGTGCACCCCAGCACAAGCAGGTTCACACAATTACACTCTCTAATCCTTAAGAACAGGGGTCTCAGAATTCAGGAGTAGATGCCAGTGCTTGGAGATCTCCTGATAGCACAAAGCCACCTGGACAGCAGCACCTTCAGTTTCTTTTATTTCTATGGAAGGCTTTTTTTCCCCCAGTTCTAGTGGCCATTATCGCTTTCTCCTCATTTCAGGTATAAAACGATACTGAACTATTTTTCTTCAGAGTTGCCTTCTTGGATAACTGCTTCAATGTTGGTCAAAGAATTTTTGCACCATGTCACCACCCTATCTAGCGTTCCCTCACCTTCTGTGAAGAAAGAGGAGATCTATTAGGTTGTCTGCACAGCTATTGCAGTTGATGCTTTTTCATTCTGCAATTCAGGGCAGAAACTTCTAGAAACTTCTCAGGGACTAGGTGTAGGTGGTCCTGCGGTTGGATAAAGATACCAGAAAAGGATAGAAAAGAATGGATATTCTTGCTGCTTGGTGTAATTAATAGTGTTGGGTAGATTGGATACGTAAATTTCAGCTAACTCTGATAGTTAAAACTAAAATTCAAAAAAAGATGAAGTTGCATGTCCTTGTTTTCACTGTTACAGTTTTTCCATTGTGCCACTACTGTTTGTGAGCTCTGGCTGTTTTACTTTCACAGATCTTCCTCTGCAACTTAATGCAGCAATGTTTGAAGCCAATGGTGGCTGCGGATATGTTTTGAAACCTCCTGTTCTGTGGGATAAAAGTTGTTCAATGTACCAGCAATTTTGTCCATTAGAAAGAGATCTTGATAATAAGGAACCAGCTATATATTCGTTAACAGTAAGTACATTAAAACAGAATTTCAAACAGTCAGATAGATAGGAATAAACATGTAACTACAGTCTTAAACCACCATTACAGTCATGCTTCTGTGTGAAACGACTGTACCTACAATTATTGCTTGTACTTCTGAAGATCGCTATAGCTAAAAGAAATTGGATGGGGAAGGAGAAAATGACCACCTTTATCTGCTGCTTTGTATTCATAGATACTTCTACTGTTTCCTTCATGATATTTGACAAAACCCAGTCCTGAAAACATTTTCAGTGGGACTACATAGCAGAGTAAAATTACCTGTGTGATCAGATGTTTCACACATTTGTGAAACAACCAACTGTAATGAAAAGCTGTAATGAATGTTAAAAATACGTATTTTAAAGAAGTTATATAATATAGTCATGGATTTATGGCATAAATTTGGATTCTAAGAAGCTAATGCCTTCCAGGCAATGTTTCAGAAAATCGAGATCCGTAAGAGTCAAAATGCTCCCAGCTGAGGTAATTGTAGACCTAGTTCTTCTCTTGTGTGTACCAAAGCAAGCCAGAGGTCAGTGCCGTTACCTCAGAGTAACTGAGAAGAAAATTTGATCCTTTTGACTACATTACTAGTACATTCTTTCTGGATTAACTTTCAAATGCCTTGAATGGTTACAGTCATGATTTATGGTGTACTTTTTTCAGAGGAAAGATACCGTAGCAATGGCATGTGATTTAAGCACTTCTGCTTCAGACATTACTGTCTTGGCAGTTACAAAAGCAAAGGAGGGTTGTAATTAAATCAGTATGCTAACAAACCGTGCGTAGGAGTAGGATAAATAATATTTAGCTAAGAATTGTGACAGAAAAAGAATTACCCCACTAATTATTTTCTCTCTGTGCTTCTCGGCTTCAGATTGTGTCTGGCCAGAATGTTTGTCCTAGCAATAGCACAGGAAGTCCATGCATTGAAATAGATGTTCTTGGGATGCCTCTGGATAGCTGCCACTTCCGGACTAAACCCATTCATCGCAACACTCTCAACCCTATGTGGAACGAACAGTTTCTTTTCCGGGTTCATTTTGAGGATTTGGTCTTTCTTCGATTCGCAGTTGTTGAAAATAACAGCTCAGCTGTAACAGCTCAAAGAATCATTCCACTAAAGGCTCTAAAAAGAGGTAAAATAAAGTTTATAGTAACACTGTGTACCAAGATGGCCCAGCAGACTCCTGGCAGACTGAATCCTGCCTGAGGGATATTTTTAATCAGCTTGCTGCCTTCCTCTGGAGGAGACAGGGAACAACATACTTTGCCCTAGCAATCGAACGCTGATCTGATGGCCTCCCTGGGAGCTGCCACAGTGACTTGTGAAAACTCCCAGAACTGAGCTGCGTCTCCTGTTGTTGCAGAGGTGGGAGCACCTTGTACACAGCAGCTCAGACCTTGAGCTGTGGTTGTCAGCGCTCAGGTCGTGCTCACCTCAGGACTTACCCTTCCTGTAGGAAGACTGGAGTGGTTTCACTCTGTGTTAGCTGTCCTAATTAGCGGTCACCGAGGCAGAAGCGAATGACACTGTTTGCAACCTTCGCTGGAGGAGAGATGAAAGAAGGTGAAAGAAGGTGAAAAAAAGACAAGCAAGCACCAATAATGCTGTGGCACTTGTCGGGGGATGCCATAACGGCAGCAGCTCTTCAACAGAATGGTGAAAATAGTTTCAGATTTACCTCATGCCACTGTAACACCACAAAACAGATTTAACGTACGAGGCGATCTGGCCATATGTATCCATTTTCCCAGTGAGACTTTGTCCTTGTTTCATTCATATTTAAAACTGTAATTTATTTAGCTATTTCATGTATGAAGAGCTTGAATATTATGGTGACTGCCAAAAGCAAAAATGATTTTAGTAGGAGTTAAAAAGGGTACACAGCCACACAAGCCACTCAGCAGTTCATAGGATTGGGCTTGTGCTGCTGTACAGACAAGAGTGTTAATGCAGTATTATTACAGTGCTTTAGTGCTATAGGTATAGCAAAGGCTTAGTTATTGGAGTTTTTCATCTCTGAGTCAGGTGTCCTAGGATGTGGCAAGGTACTCATGAAAGGGTTTTTTTTTCTCTTTAGGCTATAGACATGTCCAGCTACATAACCTGCACAATGAAGCATTAGAAATTTCAAGTTTGTTCATAAACAGTCGGAGAATGGAAGAAAGTCCATCTGGAAACACTCTGCCTGCATCTATGGTAATTTAATTATATTTTTGTGAATGCCATGTATTTTTGTCTTAATTACTAGTATGATCTGAAGACTTTTAGGATCAGACTGTTCAAAGAAATGAGGCCCCGAAACCTGCACATCTTTCAGAAGTACCTTGAAGCCCGAATCCTTTTTGGCTTCAGTGGAGGTTAGGTTATCCTACCTGGCTGAAACTGTGGGTGGGTTCGTCTTTCCAAAGTCTGACTTTTGGTATATTTAGGTATAGCGCAGGCAGAACTTCTGTGCTGGAGCTGTCTCATGCATTCCTTTATGCATGAATCATAAACATTGGATTTGAGATGCACAAAAAAAATGCAAATTACCAAAAAACTATCGTTTGTTGGAATAGTGAGAATACAGTTAAATTCTTGTACAAAAGAGGATGGAGCCCCTATTTACATACACACATATTATATATTTTATTACATACACACACACGTGCGTATATATATAAAAAAATAGCCCTTAAGGATGGGTTACTTTTGCTTGTTTCAGCCTCTTTAAGCATGTGTATTATCACTTTGCTGAGTATCCTAGCGTGTTAGATAAAAATCTCCTGGGCTACTGAGTGTGCCAGCAGATGTGCCGCAGACATTATGCTCCCGTGAACACAGGCCAAACACCTATCTATCATCTGGGTGAAGTACTAAGGCAGAAAGGACAGCTATGACTGGTTTGGAACATAAAATCAAGTTACTGATTTTCATCCAGTAATTACTGCATTGACTCCAATAGTCTTCGTTCAGTTAGAACGCAGAGAGTGAATGATGGAGGTCTGTGACACTGTGCTTGTTCAACGGTGGTTTATGTACCCTCACTGTAACACTTTATTCCCATTTGAATTTCTTTTTATTCCTGTCCAGCTTCAAGGTAGTGTTTTGTTTTGTTTCGTTTCGTTTTTAATATCTTGATCTGTGTGCAAGAAAGAGCCCTATATTAGTTGGATAGCTTTTCTCTGTCAAGGTCCTATAGTTTGCGTGTGCAGTGTCTTTTAATGCAACTTACAGATAATTAATATGCCTATGTATATCAGTATCCTGATGAACATTGTCTTAACAGTTGTTCAGCACAGCTGAAAGGAGAGCTGCTGTGGCTTACAAAGTGACCATTCATGGAATTCCAGGCCCTGAGCCTTTTACTGTTTTTAATATAAGTGGGGGGACCACAGCTGCACATCTTCTTCATCAGGTAAGTTGCTCACTGTATTGCAAGCAGCCGGCCATTTGTCTCCCTGCGTTTCTCAAATGCAGAATCATTGTAGCTTATTCATCATAGCCAGGAGTTATGTTAGCAGTGTATTACTGTGGAATTAATTGCACTGTAAATGCAGAGTATCATCAGTGAAGTTTTCCGAATCGTGGATTCTGATAATGGGTTTTTAATCTTATAATATAGTCCCTATTAGTATTTTACTATTTGGGCATATGCATATGAGAAAAGAAAATCTTTCTGACTGATAGAGTCAGCAGGCTGCCCTGGAAAAGGGCAGACTTTTCTGTGTAATTCTTTGAACTTGAGCATTGTAGGAATACAGAGTAAAAGTTAGAGGGCTAAGTTCATGAGTAAAAAAACCATTTCACTCAACAGGGGTTGTTATTCCAGCAGTGGGAAAAGACTGTACTGTCCTGGGATTATGAATAAATTGTCTGGCCTGGCCAGAAATAAGCTTAAATAGTACTGCCTTGTCTGGAATAGTTGAGCTACTTGGCAAGTGTAAAGCGTACGTTAGCCTGGAGTAAAATATCTGAGTAATGAATAGAACATCAGAAATCTTGCCTACACTATCTATCAATCAGAATTGTTATTGATTCTTAAAGCTTTTTTATTCATATTCATTTATAACTACTAATTATGCAGTGTTTATATTTAGCCTTCTAAATGCTGTGTGTGTATCGTGGTCTGTCTTAGCTCTTGGCTACCACAAAAGGCACTGAATCATGTGCCACAGACTATTTTCTGATGGAAGAGAAAAGTTTTATATCTAAAGAAAAGAATGAATGCAGAAAACCACCATTCCAGAGAGTAATTGGTCCTGAAGAAGGGCTGGTGCAGCTTCTGAACAGCTGGTTCCCAGAAGAAGGATATGTTGGAAGGATTATCTTTAAAACCCGAGAGGAAGTAAGTCTGTTTGTTTTAGAAAAATTGTTATTTACATAGGTAGCTAAAAATAGCTGTAAGGACCAGGATATAAAAGAGTGCAGTACTTCTATCACTGCTTGGTTGAGTGATGTCAATGCTGTGTACATCTTTTAAAAGCAAGCGTAACACTGACTAACGCAACTAGCTGTAATACACCTCGTTAAGTGTACCTGTGGAACAGTAATTTGACTTCAGTCAGCTCTAGTATCAGCTGTCACCGATTCAACTATCGGATACTATGAGCTGCCTGTTGTAACTGATCGTTCCGGTTTAATGTCAGTCAGGATTTTGACATGATATGAAATGAATATAAAGAAAGAATGATAGTAGTTATAATACCAGAGGATCACAGGTAACAGAACACCAGACTACAGTTAGCAACCAGTTTGGATGGCAGCAAGTTTTTTTACTTTGTTCAATAAAATTAGAAAGGACTTCTTTAATATTAAACTACACTAAAAAAAAAAACAAAGGATGGTGAAATTATCCATGGTAACTTAGAATAATGAAAGAAGTGATTTCTCTTAATGTAAGGTAGGAAGATGGCCCGATTACTCCAGTTTAAACTATGGGCAGAACATCCACATCTTGAATATATGCTAACGCTCAGGCTTGTGAGAGAGGAAAAAGTTTAAAAAAAAAAAAAAAAAGTAGAAAACACCTAATAATCTAATTTTCAGAAGCATTTCCTTTGACCAGTTCAGCATATAATAGTGCTTGCTTAGTCTGAACACAATAATGTAGGTAGACATATATTTATATATACAGATTTTACGTATACAACTAACAGGAAAATGCACACCACCTTTGTTTATGTGCACATTCCTCTAAGATTTCTTAGAATGGAAAAAAAAAATAAGAACAGCTTTATTATATGATAAATTTACAAACCAGTGTTTTTTTAACTCTGGTTATTTCCACACGTTTTTTTGCTACAGCTTCAATTTGACATTTTATTACACAAAGCAATTTTTTTCTTTTATTTCTAGTCTACTCAAACAATTTTTGAATTTCTATTTCATTATGTGGAGCAGAAGTTAGGAGATTAAAAACTTGTCCGTAGGAACAGTAGTATACTTCATTCAGTTGACTACAACACTTAATTTGCTAGTATGTGCAGCCACACTTACATATGCTGTGTATGTATAAGTACATATATTTTTAGTCTTACTTTGAGATATATATAAAAAGACGTATGTCACTGCCAGTCCCATTCTTTCAGAAAATATGGGTTAAAATCTGTATTAAATTTCATGAAAATTATGCTGTATTTTTGTCCTAGGATGCTAGTACATCAAAGCATTATCTGTAATTTGGAGCCTTTTCAGAGATGGCAGCTGACTCACTCACATCTTAGAACCAGAAATGTAGCTGCAGATTTGCATTGAAAATAAAAAAGAAGTGGGTCCATGTGTAGAGTGTGACCCACAGTTCATGTTTACATCTTATGCATTCAAACGTTGTTAAAAAGGGATGCAGAGAAACGCAGAACCCGAGCGAAGGTGCAGGGAGTAGTTCTATTTGTAAAAACTGTAGTCATGTCACAGATCCTGAAAAAAAGAACTTACTTACTTAGAAGTAGCCTTGCTCCACATGGAAAAGCGACTTCTTGCTCTCTGAATGCCTTTCTTTGTGCCAGAAGCTAGCTGTAGCCCAGGGGCAAGGAGAGGAAAAAGGACACACTTTGCACCATCTCCCATCTTAATTCCACCATCATAAGAAAAAATAATAGAATTTTGTAGACATCAAGGAAATAATAAAAGATAGATATGTATGTGATCTTGTTTTTGTATAACATGGCACAATGCATATGTATGTCTTCATTCCTTGCCTCCTCTGACAAATAGTTAAGACGCTGATTTTTAGAAACACAAATAAATATTACCAATATAAACTTGACAAAATGGTTTATAGATTTGTATTTAATGAAATAGAGCCAGGGCAGCAGTAAAATCTCTGATTTCCATGGGATAAAAAAGATCTTCTGTGATCCCAGCAATTAGTTACCTCTCTGAACTAAATAAATTTGGCTCTTCTTTTTTCTATAGAATTTAAATGAGAGAAACTCCTTTCAAGAAACAAAGGAAGAGGCAGTCATCAGCTCTGAGGATGACAGTTTCTTTGTTCAGGTACACGATGTCTCCCCAGAGCAACCACGCACTGTCATCAAAGCTCCTCGCTTTAGCACAGCTCAGGACGTCATACAGCAGGTAAATAGCATGTTGTTTCCATTTAGTAGGTTCCATAATCTGGAGGCTGGAGATTGGTTTCACACAAGATGCGTGTGTTTTGTTCTCAGCACTAGCTGAAGAATCTGCCCAGTAACTGACTCTGTGATAACGTTGACTTTTTCTGCTTTTAAACAGACTCTTTGCAAAGCGAAGTACTCGTACAGCATTTTGAGCAATCCCAATCCAAGTGACTATGTCCTCTTGGAAGAGGTGACAAAAGAGCCAGCAAACAAGAAGTCCTCAACATCTAAACCCTCTCAGAGGATTCTCTCTGATCAAGAGTGTGTGTTTCAGGCCCAAAGCAAGTGGAAGGGAGCAGGAAAATTTATCCTTAAGCTCAAAGAACAAGTTCAGGTAAAAGAGTAAATACCTTGTAGCAGGCTTTATATATCAACGGTATGTGATCAGCTCGACAAGAACATACTTTTAATAGGAGGGAGATGCTAAATAGTCAAATGAGATTTTTAAAGTGGCAAAAAGGCTGACTTGGTATGTGGTAGTAATGGAATTAGTTTGGGGAAAAAAAAAAAAATCCACAAATTCCAGCATTAACAGATGTCTGTAAGCAAGCTGCCCTCCCCCACCCCACACAAAAAAACAAAAAAAAAAAAAAAAAAGGGTTCAGAAAGCCTGCATTTAACAACTAACTGCAACGGTTTAGCCTGAATATAGTACGAAACAATTTTATGACGCAGAGCCTCTTGCTGATGTGCTTCCAGAGCCAAACTGCCACCTCTTGTACTTGTATGGCCAGCTAGTACTAGAGACTCAGCACCTCTGCTTGACATGTCTATCAATATTTAATCAAGCCTAAGATCAGGATGTAAATAAAATCTTACAAGAGATGCCTCAACATTTTACAGGATTGGGAAAGGGGGGACTACAACAAAAAGTAGATTTCTATTTTCTCTCCACCTCCATTAGCTTCCTCATTGCAAAACTGCATCAGTTACATCCAGCAACATGATTTTTCTCAACAGCCTGCAACTCCCATGACAACCTTTATCTTTTGCTACCGGCTTTCTAATTTTTGACGTCTTCTGGCTGTCGGCACCCTGCTTCCCATCAGAATAAGACAGGACTATTCAAATGAGCAGAACTTTAAAACTGCTGGAGTGAAGTCCCCTTTATTCCTACCCAGTGAAAGAACTGCTCTGTTGCTTTAGCTCAGGCTCAGGAAAAAAAAAAAAAATGGAAGGATTATAATACTTACTTATCATCTGCTTGGGGAAGTAACTGCATTCGTCTTTCCAGCAGATGCCATCAAACCATAGCAGTTGTTGCTTTAAAGTCACAGTATCGTGAGCACAGATTTTTTTTTTTATAAAAGTTTGTACCAGATTTGCTAAACAGAGTCTTAATCTTTGACAACACATAATTTCAATTAATTCTTTTATTCAGAACAATCAGAAAAATATACCTGGCTATGAAGGCACAGCTGCACTGAGTTTCAAAAGTCAGGCCTGCTTAGAAAAATCTTACATGTTTTCATATTAAATTGCTGTATTTTGCAGCTAACAGTCTATTAAACTAGTTCTGCAATGTTTTTTTTTTGTTTGTTTGTTTTTTAAATTTAACAGGCAGCACGAGATGACAAAAGAAAAGGCATTTCCTTTGCCAGTGAACTCAAGAAGTTAACCAAGTCAAGTAAACAGTACCGGGGATTCATATCACCGCCTCTGCAGGTCTTGCCAGACAGTCCACAGAGTAAGGATGAAAAGTCTGCGTGCAGTTTGACTTTTAGTGACATTATGGAGTAATATCCACCACTGCCTACAGTACAGTCTGTTCAGGTATGAGATACTTGCTATTTGATTCTAACTCTGAGCAGTTATTTAATGCATGATATAGGGTGTATTTTTTTCAAAGATGTAGTTGGGTAAACCATAGTGAGGTACAACAGACGGACAGAAAGATTCATGAAACCCTTACAGATTAGTGGTGTGCGCAGACCCAAGTACCTGCGTGTACTGGTGGTCAATAGGATTTCAGATTACTTATTATGACATTTACTAAAGTGAACTCAAACGGTGCGAAAACTAGAATTTTACTCTGCCTCCTTTCCCCATTTAAAAAAAAAAAAACCAGAATGTTGCAGCCTATTTTATTTTATAGTATGTATTTTAAACAACTAACTGTGCTTAGTTAACAAACAACATTCTGTTATTCTTTTGCTGTAAGCCAACATAGATTGAAGTATCCAGTAGAGCTTTTGGTATTGTTATGTTACGTGCATATAATAAAATCATTGGGATTGACGATCTCTTTTCTAGCTGACACAAGTTTATGCTTTTAAATTCTCCCTATGTGGAAATTCTGCCACAGTTTTTTAAACATTTTTACTATCTTTTCTGTATTTCTTTAGTTCCTTCTATCTTGCTTGACTTTACATAACAAATGAAATAAACATCAGCTTGTCCCATGTATATAAAGATAACACATCCAATTTCTTGCCCACTGATTTACGCTAACCAGAGATTTGCATAATGCTGCCTACTACAACATGGAGATATCACCTGAGAAGTTAGTTACAGCTTGTTAGAAATGAAGAAGAAATCTTTTTCAGCGTTGATAATCCCATGTCACGTATGATGAATTTAAGGAGTTTACATTTCCTTTCCACATACATACACTCAATTATCAAAACATTATTTGACGTGCATTGTCATACTACTGATAAATTATTATACTGTCAGAATTCAAATAATATCCTTTGCAAAATATTTCAAATACGAACAAATTTGATATCTTCTTTCTAGGTTACTATAAAGACCCTAAATCATCCAAAACACTGAATTCAAGGAAAGCAAAGTAAATAATGGAAAGACCCCAGAACATTCCTCCTCCTTCTGCATTTGTTCTTTCCTTTGGTAGAGAACTGGAATTTACGTCACTGAAGCCTTCTACAGTGTCCTTGGAGAAAACTGCTGCGGTCTGAACTGGTCAGCAATTGTGCGGCCTGTGCTACAGATGCTTAATCCAGACAGTGCTTTTGGATTAACACACTCACTCCGGGAACGCTAAGTGGGATGGTGTAGGTTAGAAAGATGCCTGTCACCTATCAGAAGATTCCCTTCTTCCCATTTATTTTCACATCTGCAGATTCTCAATAGGCAGGTGAAGCCGTTTTCTTGGACTGCATGTTGTAAACAAACATGTCCCCCGACCCCACCTTTTTGTTTTAAACAAAAGGTAATTAATGTTAACTAGTTGCCTCAAGGGAAACTGAAGGCAGAGAACTAGAACAAGAGTGTTCTTTTATGTGTATTATATTAAAATAATGCACTTTTACCTAAAGATTCCTGTTAAACACTGTGTTAAGTGATTGTAAAGAGTTTTAAATATATTGTAACTTCCTTAGCATATCAGTTTAACTTTGGTGAATATACACAAAATGCTCAAATTATTTATGGTTTATCTACTTCAACAAAATAATGTACAATAGCCAAATACACCTAACTGTTAGTGATCCTTTGACAAGGAACAATGTTTTCTTCTTATAAATTCTAGTTTTTCCAGACTTATGTTCAAAGAAAGAATGAATATTTATTATCATGTTCCAAAGTATGTGCCATTGTATAATATATTTATCATATACTACTTTTTAGAAACCAGAATTTTCACCTCTCTCTGGAGTTAGAGGAAAAGAATATTTAAACTTTTCAGGTTGTTTCTTTTCAGCCGAAAAAGGTTAATATCCGAAACTGATCAAACTTAAACAGTATACTGAGAAATGTATTTAACATTTCAAAATTGCAATTTCAAAATACATTTTTCCATAAATCAGAAAATGTCTATAGCTGGTTTTTCACTTGCCTCTTAAACCCTGAGAGTATAAGCAACTCTTTACACTATAACCCTTGACATTTTTGTTTACATAGAAACACTGTTGTAAAGTTTTATACGTGTTTGCTGGATTTCTCTTTCGAAGTTTAAACTAGTTATGGCTGTCTCTTTTTTTCCCTCCATAGGAGTTACTGTTGTGCTTAGTTACTTAAAACAATCCATACCAATTTACAGGGGCACAAATGAAACAATTGCGGAAGTCAGCCATCCCCTCTGATTTGCCACATGAACTGTGTCTGTGGTGAATAAATTGCTCAACACATGTTTTTGTCTCTCTATTAGCAAATCCAGAATAAAGCATTTTAGTCGCCTGGTATAAGTAAATCAAGTAGTCCATGAATACAGGGAGTGATTCATGCAATCAGCAATTTCACATCACCATCACTACTCAAGCACAAACAGCTGCTGCTTCTAGGAGAGAAGCTGTATCAGGCAAAGGATAGAATAGCAACGCAACTAAAATGTTTACTTTTGATAGTCAGTGCAAGGAGGACAGGGAAAAAAATGTTACCTACAGACATTACTCCTGTGACAACCAAATAAATAGAGAAATAATTAGCAAATTAAAAAAACCCAAGTTGTTAATTTATTTATAAACAAGCAGGAAGAACCTACACTGTGTCACAAGAAGCTATGAATTAGCTTTAAGTATATGCTAGGGAAAAGTCTACAAAGTAATCATTACCAAAGCAAAAAGTGCCCCCTTCAGAGCATTTCCAGCTTTCCCACAGACTCCTCCCCCCCCCAAAAAGAAAAAAAAAAAAATCAAATCTCGTTATGGCATGTCCTACTGCTAATCTTCAGTACTGATATAGCAAAACAGCATTTTGCGATTCAGCAGTTAGTTGTTATTCCCACTCAGAAAACCCCGGCTGCCTTCCAGCTCAGCCTCGTCATTCATAATACTGTTCTGCGTTCTGAGGAAAAGGCAGTGTGTAAGAAGTCAGTCAGACACTCAGATTTTTCCTTGTCTAAAGTTTTAGTTTAGATTTCCATTGCAAATGATTAAGAGTAACATTTTCAAAAGTGACTCACCTAAAATTCTATACATTGCTGAATTTAAATGGATTTAGGGACATTACTACTTTGGCTACTGTGTAAAAAGCCTGAGTGGCACCAGTCTGTACTCTTAGAAACCCAGACATGAAAACAAATTTAATCTATCTGAAGGTAAATGAGGGACTCCTCTTAAAAAAAAAAATGTTACCCAATATCTTCAAATCTGTTGTTACCTCTGTGTATGTGTGTGTGTGTGCGCGTGTGTATTTACTGGCCAAGTGAACAGAGAAACAAGCGGTTCATACAGTGGCCTAGCTTGTCTTTTGACAAATTTTAACTGCAGCATAACCAGCCTCTCTAAAAATGAGGTATGTGCCCTTCCCTCCCCATGGCACGTGCATCATGGACGACTGATACTGAATAAAATGTTAAGAAAGTGACAAATTAGGCATAGCTTTAGATGCACAGTTTGCTTCGGGAAATATGTATATTGACCTACTGCACAATTCAACTAATGAAATGTTCCCCCCCCCACACACACACACACACTATAATGAATTTTTCCTTTCAGTGTTGAAAAGGACATTCTAGAAACAGCATTTACTTTCCTGTACATTTATTCCTGTACCTATTTAGCAACTTTTTTTAAAGCTATTCAGCAGCACTGAAAATAAAACTCTCAACATCACCTTTAGTATCCTAAAAATCTGCAGCACACTTGCTAATTGACTAGGGAGCAAACAAACAGAGCAAGTTTTCACACGTATGGTGTCGTCCACTGATGGTTATCTGTCGCACTTGGGGAAAAACAAAACAAAACAAAAAAAAACAACTTGGGAAAGCAAGGGACTGCTACAGCCCTGTTGTTACATTGTGTAAAGCAGCTCTAATACTAGCCTAAAGTCTAGCAGCAGTTTAAAAAAAAAAAAAACAATTGTTTTGTACTATTTCCGCTAACACAATAATTTCCTACCTAGTTGTAGGAACGGTTTATTAATAGAGGTAACCGCCTCATCAGTCAAGGTCTGTGTTGCTTTTGTTGCTGTTTATCATCACAGTGAATGGAAACTATTGGGCTTTTTATTAAAAAAAAAAAAAAATTCTTTATAGGCATTTAGAATTTTGCAAGGCTAATAATTATACTTTTCGACTATTTCCTTTAATGTACATATTTCAGATAATCTCAAGTTTTAAAAAGCTTCTAGGTATTGGTAAACATCAGAGTAAATTCTTTTTGTCGAAGGAATGTGGTTCATTTTTGGTGACGCTAGAAAGGAATACAGCATCCTTCCACTTGCATTATTTCCAAATATCCAAAAAATGAAGCTATACCACTACTTAAAGGATTAGACAGAGAATTTTTGTTAAATTTTATGAAAGTCCAGTTAAACAGATTTCATGTGCTGAGTTATTACTCTAACAAGAAAGCTTATTCCGCTTATCCACAGATTTTCTTTCTGCAGGAAATCTGTCCACAGATTCCTAGGACAAGACTGACAAAGTAACTTTTGTCTCTTTCTGTGCTTTTGGCTGGGCATGGACATCAATTATGTAAAAATACATTCATTTTTTCACATTACAAACTATTAACAGGAAGCCGCTTCCAGGATAATGTTTGAAAGAAAGGAATGTAAATAATCAACACCTTCCAGAAATGTGCAGTCTCTGAGTGGTAGCAGGCCTCACTGGGAACAGTTTACACGTGGAACTCACACCCAGTTGCCTATGGGCCATAGTGAAGTTTTTTATTCTGTACTATTTTCAAACCACTATTACTTTTCTACTAATGTCTTGTATCTCTCTCTCTCTGTCGCATGTGCTGTTTGCAGTGCTGTGACTGTATGGGACAAAACTCAGGCAGCTGTGGACCCTGGCTCCATTGCAGCACTGTTCAGTTTTCAGGAATTGGAGGACGCCAGGAGGTAATAGCAGTAGAGTCTGAAGAGTTTTCTGTTTGTTTTTTTACCTGTTAAATTTGGGCTCACTAAGATAGATAGAAAAATACTGTCTCATTTTTAATTTTTAAAATGCAGTCACGTTTTTATCTTTACTAGATGAAGTATCTCAATAGTCATCTTTTGAAAGCAGTCTGCCTCTAGAGATCACATTTTCAAGAATTAAAGCCTTTAACATGGATGTATCTGACTACCTGAAAAACACATCCTCTTACATTCATAGTTTGTCTTTAAAAAAGAACAACTTACTGGCAGATTTACATTTTGGCAAAACGTGGAGTCTGCAGCTTCTGAAACTGAACTGTCCATTCTGCTCTAGCTCTCAAAATGCTACTAAGCTTCAGCTAACACTTGTTTTTTAATCACTGCTGTTACAAGTCCACTACAAAATCCAGTTTACTTTTAGGGTAGCCCACTAAATGTAACAATGGTGGAGTTTTTTTTCTGTCTGTGATAAATATTTTGTAACTGCAATAGTACTAGACATTTGGCAGAATTAGCAAACACAAAAATAAATAGCAGTAAATAGAAGTAAACAGATTTCTCTCCAGTACACGTATAGGATATTTCCTCTGCCTCTTAAAGCATGTCAAAGTATTCTGACAATGCAATATCACTATGTGCCAGTCTTCACATTGTTTTGAAATTATGTCAAATGTACAATTTTAAAAGTGACTTTCCACTTGGAGTATTTTTTTCTCTGCTGACTTGAAGAATAAACTTGTATTTGTATATCTTGTAAAAAAATAAATGGTTTAAGATGTGGGCTCTTTGCTTCTGCTTTCCAGAACTGACAAAGTACTGGTAAATGACCACCTTGGAGTTTTTCAGAGTTTAAATCACATCCGTCTTAGCAATCACTTAAAAACTAGAATAGTCAGAATTAGTCAAAAGCTATGGGAGTGCAGACCTAACCAGACAGAAACACGTGAAAGATACTATTTATTTATGTATTACCTAGTAGTAGTATGCAGGCTGTTTTGTAATCCACATAGTAAAAGATGTATTTTCTGATCCATTGATGGATATATGCCTATTCCATAGATGCTTGTGAATTTCTGTTTTAACTGCTCAGAATTAAGTGAACCAGTCTTAGTGATACTAAAAAACACTTACTTACTTAATAAAAACAAAGTAAATTATTGATAAAAGTATCTCTGAAGCTTAAATAAGGACAAAGGACTAACTTCTCTAGAGAAAAAGAAATATTTTCTAATTATTGTAAGGCTGTTAGTCCCTTGAACAAATGCTTTGCACAACTCACAACATGTATCATTACCACTTCATAGACAAAACATTACGAAACCTCCCCTATAGAACAGAATACATATAAAGCTAACACCTTCTCATTTTCAAATTATTTCATATATTTTACTTATGGTTTGCAAAGCCAACATGAAATTAAGCACAGATTCTGAGACAACCAGACTGACTAGCATTAGGGGAATGGGGATAAAATTCTGTTTCCGATATAAAAAAAGTTTAAAATCCTTACCTTGAATTTGTCCCATAGTTTTGACAGTGATGGTTTATTGAAGGCATTGTTGTAGACCATTCAATTATGCAGCTATTTCAGATCTGAAATTCAGTAATCTCAATTTGCTAATAAATTCCAAAGAGATTTCATTGGGAAAAAAAAACATTAAAGTAAAATCATTTCAAGAAAAGAGAAATGGTTAGGAGACATGAGAAGAAAAACAGAAAAAAATACAATACATACTCCAAACCTCCAGGTATTTTAGCATCAAAGAACTCAATACTATGTTAGAGTTTCAAAAAATGTATTCATTTATCAACACAATCCAGTGATTTTTAGGAAAATTAGAAAGTTTGTAAACAAAAATATTATACTATAATACACAGCTGCAAGCAATTTTTAAACGACCTGTTTTTATATCTTTTAAAATTACTGATATGACTGTTCATTCTGGTTCCCAAGTCCAGAGAACACAGTCTAGGCGGGTGAAATGGAGGGGCCATGTAACTGTGTGAAAAACTACTGTTTTATTTTAATACATTTCCATCTTCTAGCAAAATCCTACTTGAATTCTTTTAATGAGTGAAAATTTCTTTCAGCTGCTCTTTCTCCATAAGTCAGTCAACTGAATGTGATAGAAATATTTATGAGAGGGACGATTCCTTTAAGTGTTTAGCAAAATCCAAGGGTTTGCGAATAGCAGTCTCACTGATGTGTTGCTGAAGCTGTTCATTTAGCTCTTCATTTAGAAATGAATCCGGTCGTGAGAATGTATCCTGAAAATTACAGAATAGTAGCTGCATTAGTAAGCAAGGCATATATGTGTTTTCCATGAGCATCTTAGCGGTCCTGTTTCTCTCCTACGCCCTTGATCATCTCCTAGAGCAGCTCTATGGAACTGGCGGCCCACTCAGATCAGGCCTGACAGGAGGTTTCATGGGGATAGCAACAAAGTGATGTGTCCAACAGTCCTTCAGAAGCTCCTGTTTTTTGGGGAGGATTTTGTCTGGTTTAAACTGTTCTCTAAAAGAATACCCTGTTAAACACAGCCACAGCCCCTAGCTTTGAAGGAGCTTATACATTTCTTCCTGTTCAACACACCTTAGAATAACTAAGCAGCTCTGCTCAAAAGGCTAGTGATCACACTACTGCTGACAGTAAGAAGGTGTGAAACTGAGCAACGAAGCACCTGCCCCTGCCTCAAGAGATCCTCTCAGGCTCAGGGAGCCTTCCAGTCTTACCTGGTAACTCAGACAAGGAAGGTCACGCACATGATTTATACCTCCCTGTTAAAAGTCCTAGCACACACATGGGCAAGTGCTTCATGCAGGCTCACTCAAGAAAGAATGAGATCCTCTCTTCTTCAGCGGTGCACAGGGAAAGCAAATTCTCACTCACGAGCTTCTGTCAATAGGGAAGTACTGACAGGCAATGGCAGCATGACACACAGAAGAATACGTGGGATAGATACAGAAACACCTAGATACTGCCAAAGTTTGCCAAAAGGGCCAAACAGTCAGCAAGCAAGGCCTTGCTAGGTATGTCCGATATAACCACCTCAAGTCACTACTTTCTCTCCTATCTTCCTCTTTCTTTGTTTCCAGTATCTTAAAGAGCTTACGCATTTCCTTGTTCAGGCAATACACAGTCTCTCTCCCGTCTGCTGTTCCCAGCCTCATTCTGTCAGAACGGCTAATGTGACACCCAGGCAGGGCAGACATGTCCAAAAGTTGTTACAAAAGGACAGAACTATTAGATCCAAACATATTTTCAGAAGCTGGTTCTCTGAAATGGAAAAACTGTGCTCTCAGTGAGTTATGAATCAGAGGCACTACTGAGGTTATTAGGTTACAATTTTTTCATTAGGAGAAAGAGAATTAATTACCACTTTTTGAAGGACATAGCACTTACTGGACCTTTAATGGGAGTTGGCATCTGGAACACATCCAGTGCTGAAGATCTGAAAACTGTTCACTCATTTCTCCTCTTTACACATTAGTTCTTTGTTCCCTTCAAATTTACACTTTAAAGATAAAAACTGACACTAGTGGGGATCAGTGTCCTTCTACACACTGAACCAAAGGCTCTGGGAATTTAGCTGTCTTGCCAACTCCCAACACTGGGAAAAAGAGAGCTGCCTTTTTATTACTGCTTTATAAACAAACATTAGTTCATCATTACAGAAAAGGGACAAGAAATCTGCACTGAGCCACTGGAGAGTCCAAAAGATAAGAGAAATAATAGACACCACATTCAACTTGCTACATTAACTGGTGCTATGGGAGATGAAACTATTCATACAGCTTTTCCTCCTTCTTTTAGAGTCAGTGCTATCTTAGGCCAGTAAAAAATACTCAACTGAGAAAGCGCAAAATTCAGAAAGCCAGATTAAGTGTGCTCATGCCTGGGCACTGCATAGTGAAGCAGCAGATGATACAGACTGTATTCATACATAATAAAATGTTAAAAAAGAACAAGGAGAGACAGTACCTTTCTTCTAGGTGCTACTGATGCAACAGGAGGATTAAAAGTCATTCCTTTCATGCTGTATGTCTCGAAAAGTTCTGTGGCAGGTCTATAATACAAGCAGAGTTTTCACAGTGAAAGAAACATGATACGAGATACATTTCCAAAATGAGAATATACACTTTAATATTACCACCAACCAAAAGCAATCCTCTTTTCCCCCATTCACCCTGCCTCCCCTCCACCACCCATCAGAGTAATGAATGTAAACTGGAAAAGACTGCAAGCCAGCAGCTGGGAAACAAGGGAAGGAAACGCAAGTAACATGTATCTGTTAATACTCAGCTGGAGCACAGAGAAAGACCATGGGAGACAAGAGAACTGTTCTGTCAGCCTGCCAGAACTCCAAGCAGTCACTGCTTACCCTGCACATATCTCCACCTTTGAAAAAGTCAAAAATATGTGGATAAGGGTTATCTAGTTGATACAACATACCTGAATTTCCAAAGGGATTCCTAAGTCCCTCACCAAAGCATTTCATGAAAACTAAGCAGCCATGAGAGAAAAGGGAAGACTATGACAAGGGAAGAGGTTAAAAGACAGCAGAGAAAAGTCTGTGCAACATTCTTGCAACGGCAGGAAGAAACTATGTATTTCCATAGAGTTTGTGCCAGTACCTCTGCTTTTCAACACACTCAGAAATGATCTGCAGAAGAGGGTGAGTGGTAAGTACAAAGTTATTTGCAGTAGTAACAAGAGCAGCCTGTGAAGAACTGCAGACAAACCTTATGAGATTGAGTCACTGGTCAATAAAATGGCAAATGAATTTCATTGTGAAACAATGAACACAGAGACATATAATCTCAGCTCACATAAAAAACAACAGGCTCTGAGCTGAGCATTGCTAGAAAGGAACAAGATCTTAATGTTATGACAGAAACTTTCAGGGGACTGTGACCTCAGTGCTGTTTGGCAGTAAGAAAGGAACAGAAAACAGAATACAAAGCACTGCTACATCAGTGTTAAATCCACGGATCACCCACATCTCAAATACTGCACTTGAGTCCAAACTCCTCATCTGGAAGTATTCAAAAGGCAAAATGTTCAGGAATGGACAACAAGAATGACGACAGGTATGGAACAGTTCCTGCATGGGATGGATCTCTTCAGCCATGAGAAGAGATGGTAGGTGGAGGGGCGATATGACAGAGGTCTGCAAAATCGTATGTGTCACAGAAAGGATGTATTGGAATAGACTGTTCGTTGTCTCTCCCAGTGCAAGAACCAGGGACCATCAAATGATGCATGCAGGCACCAGGTTCAAAATAAAAGAAGGTAGTTCTTAACACAATGAGCTGTGTTATAACATCCTTACCAAAGGATGCTGTATTTGCAAAACGTGTACTTTGGTTCAAGGGACACTGAACACTGTTTTGAAGAGAATTCCACGGGAAGTTACTAAACAGAAAATGACATCAGGTTTGGGAAATCCCCTGGACTGCAACCAGTCAGTGGCTAGAGCACTGCTCAGAGTTAAGTGTCTACATGCTTGCCCTGTTTTCGCTCTTCCCTAAGGCATCTGTTTACAGCCACTATTGAAGACGGGATAGTGAGTTAGACAGATCCCTGGTCTGAATCAGGATGGCTGTTCTTATGTTTTAACATACTCTGGAGTTTCTGCTGCATCTTGGTTTTCAGTTTACACAGGACAGCCATAGTTCAACAGTCTCGATCCATATTCAGATCAGGGCTGCTACTGAGGAAGTTCAGCTATTTTGCTCCCGTGGGAAGAAAGCACACTGCACACTGAGATTTTTACCCTTGTCAAAGCCTGGCAACAAGCCTCACAAGGAAAGAAAAGGGGGGAAAAAAAAAAAAAACAAAAAGACAGCCAACTTTCTCTACTGGCAGAAGAACAAAGAAAGTGAGTTTCAAAGAACAGAATCTTTTAAGTTTATAATTTTTTTTTTTTAGGGATTCCTTTAATATTGTATAAACAACTACTACTTTGCCAGGGCACTTTTTTTAAAAAGAGAACTCTTTGATAGCTCACCTTCGGCTCAAATCAGGTGAGAGAGCTCCTGAGCCTTCAGCTGGCGCTCCAACAATAAGGTGAGCTGCAAATTTCTGCACTATTGGATGATAGTGCCTCTGAAAAAAGGAAGGAGGAAGGCAGTTGAGTGTGGGTAAGCAGTGATATATTTATCCATGGATTCTCCAATTTATTTCCATTCCACTAAGATGGAAGGGTCTGCTTTTGTTTTAGATAGAGAAGCTGAGCACACAAAAATCAGTCAATTGGTAAGGTTAAATGAACAAGAACCCCCAGTTATACATCTATTCACTAGCAGCTGGCATGCTGTGAGTATAACTCTGCAGTTAATCTAACGCCTTCTGCCAGAAGGTGAGAGGAAGGGTGGAGGAAGCTCTCCCCAAACCCCAGACCCTCGCTGGAATGACAGATCAGGGTATAAGTTGTTCCTGGAGAAGGGTTGGGCTGCCTGGGAACTTAACAGATGAAGCAGCCTCCAAATGAGTCTCTCAGGCAACCTGCAGTGAGACCCAGGGTGGTAGTATCACAGGGGATGCGTAACATCCTCTTTTGAGCTCCCCCGCTTCTCTATACCATTGCGTTGCTGTTCCTCTTTGTTGGAAGTAGTAGGCTCCTATGGGTTAGATTTGATGCATAAGCCTGGCGATCTCTGTTCTCTATTTCTGTAACTATATAAACATGTAGCAGATG